CAGAGGCAGTCCCTCTTCCCATTACTATGTAAACCACTTGGACACTGAACTGCCATGGGCTACACCTGTGCAGGGGTTCCAGGTCATCTCCATGAATAGTCCTTGGTTGGAGTATGATTTTCTGGGAAGTTCCCTGTGTTCAAATTATCTTGTTCTGTTGCTCTCCTTGTGGAGTTCCCGTTCCCTCCAGCTCTTACACTATTTCCCACTTCTTACATAAAATTCCATTCACTCTGCCCATCAGTGTTCTCTCCAATTTACCTAGGCAAGAAGCACATTCTCATATAAACATCATCATATACATCCCTACCACACTTCTGTGGAACTTTTGGTATGTTAAGGCTGCATGCCCCGATCCTCACACTTTGCTTTGCCCAGCCTCTCCCGCCAGGGCTCATGCTGTCCTCCTGACGTTATCAGCTGATATTCAATGCTTTCAGGGTGGTCTATCCTTATCTGGCCCCTCAGCACGCAGATCTGTGCTGGTCTCTGAACAAAGAACCCCTCCCTTTGTTTCCTAAATGACTGCCCACTTTGCAAAGTTGCCTTTTCTAGGGTACTATTCCTAAGACTCAGGGTGAAGTTCTTCTTCCTGGTAATCACTGTTGTAGGTGTGTGTGAGTTTTCATAATGGTTATAGTATTACTTTTATGCAAAATCGCTTAATATTCACCATCTTCATTCAGTAAGATCGGAAATTTCAACTGTTACATTTTAATTATTAATATTCTACAACAGATAACAAATATTCCTTTACTCACCTCCTAACATTTCATATTAACTGTTTCATTCATATTTTGGTTTATGTCAATAGGTAGCCGTCACATCATCATACACATACTCACAGTGGAACCAAATCGTCTATTACAATTATATTTCCTTTCTTATAATATGATGCTATATTTCCAGGGAGTTAATGTCAACCTCTATCAGTTAAACCAGTGTGGATCTATGTAACTCTGCACATCCATACACATAACTACAATAAGTGAAAAAAAAAAAAAAAGAGGCCTATGAGTTTGACCTTCAAAGAGAGTAAAGAGAGGTACATAGGAAGATGTAGAGGGAGGAAAGGGAATAAAGAAATGATGCAATTATAATCTCAAAAAATAAAATTGAATAACTTAAGAAGGCCTTGCCATTGCTGTTTTCCACCCACTTTCGTGCCGGCAATAGGAGAACGTCCTATTTCTAACTTGGCGTATGACTATGGGAGAAGACCCTGTTTCTTCTGTGTGTCAGAGTTTGTAATCAGTGAATTGAAAATGAAATCAGTTCCCCTTAACCACTGCTTTAGTCATGCCTTTCCTGCACTTTTCACTATTATCTTTTTCTCCTTTTTGCTGTTGTTCCAGCAAAAATAAAACGGACACGACCATAAGTGAATTAGTGATTTGAAGTATAAAGTGACTTTGGGCCCAGGGGCCAGGAACACCAGATGTTCATGCCTGTGTTTCAAGGGCTATGATAGACACACGGCCTCTGTCTATGTCTCTCTGTCTCTCTCTCACACACACCCATTATGTATGTATATTTATCTATGGTGGGAAAAATAATCTACAGGAATCATCAAATTTCCAATGAGGAGGTCTTTACCGTAGAAATGCAAATTAAATCGATCTAGTGTAATCTTCTCGCTTAAGGACTGGGGAGACTGCTATGGTCTGATAACATGTCTGCCTCAGGCCATGCAGAAATGGATGGCATTTAGAGCTACGCTGATAAAGCTGGGCTTTTCGGCCCACATCTGTTTTCTAACTTTTCAATTTCTGTGTCTCCTTCTGTTAACAAGTAGGGTTCTTAGGCACAGCCACCTGGGATAAAAAGTTGCTGTTCACATAAAAACTAACAGTAATAGGTGAAGAAACTGAAGAGTGAAGGGTATAGCTGCTCTGTTTGTTCACTGTTGGGACTTGTAAAGACTTAACTAGGTTTAAATGAAAGGCCTTTTTGATATCTTTTGCTTGAAATTGCATTTTTGCCTCAATTAAGCAGTATTCAAACAACCACAACCACCCAGTAAGTCAGACAGAATTTTCTTGTCCTCCTGTTATTTGATGTGGTGAGAAGTCAAGCCCAGAATACCAGCCATTCCATTGGGAGTGTCAGTAAACAGAGCCCTTTTCCCAGATCACTGTGTAACCTTTCACACAGTGAGAAAAAGAAAGGTGATCAACCTTACTGTTGGCTCATAGGTGCAAGTTTCATTTCAGCCCACTGTCAAAAAATGGAGGACAGCCTCTTGCTTTCTACAGAAGGCACCAAAGAGAAGATGCTGAGTCCTAAATTCTGAGTATGACATTTCACTGGGGTTAGTGTATCTCCAGCTGGCGCAGGGGTTGCCATCTTCCTGATTCTACTGTATTCTTCCTTTCTCTGCCAAGAAGGAGAACGAAGTAAGGAAAGACAACATTTATACAGAAGGTGGGTGAAACAGTGTGAGCTTTCCTCGTCCTCACATTGCAGTCAATAGACAGTGGAAGCCCAGGCTCCCTTGCCACAATCCCGGTTGGAAATGGCTTAACCTTTCTGCAGTTAGAGCCCATGTTTCTGACACCGTAAGAGCCACTCCTCTTCATCCTGACAACAGCCCTTTCATTTCTGAAGATGCGAAAATTAGGGCCCAGTCAGTCTCCACAGGCAGAACAGAACTTTAAGCCAGAACAGAATTCCAAATTAAATTGCTCCTCCTTTATATCCTACGGCAGTCTCTTTCCTTCTACAGAAGGCGCGTAAGAGAAGATGCCCTAAACATTCCAGATAAGCCCTAAATTCTGTCTTTGACATTTCACTGGAAGCTAGGGCCAGAACAACTTCAAAAGCTTCAATAGGAAAATAGTCTAGCAATAGATATGGTATTTCTAGCACTACTCTGATAAGGCATGCTAGGCAATAGCTTGTACTTAAAAGATGGATTATCGTGCAAAACCTTCAGAATATCCATCGTTATGTCTTCAGGTGTTTACCTGTGTGTTCTGAAGCTCACTGCTTTTAGGAAATGCATGCCTGTGACGCTTCAAGAACAAATACGAAGGAAGGAGAAACAAGAGTTTGTTTAAAAAAACAAATAAACAAATAAACACACAAAAAAATGGTGGTTTAAAGTTATTCTGAGACATTACACTATGCAAAATGACCTTTTCTGGCTTCGAGGTCACTGTGGATGTCACTGGTTAAGATCAGGAATAGGGTGGACTCTTAAGCCAGGACAGTTGCTGTCCTTGTAAGAAGAAAGTCACAGGAATACTAGATGTAAGAGGAGGAGAGATTGAGCTAGAACTCAGCAAGCTGAGGAACCTCAGAGGCTACCAGAGGCAGGCAGCGTCTCCTCACAAAGGCTGCAGAGAAAATATGCCCAGCTGGCACCTTGCTTTCAAATAGTAATCTTTAAAGCCAGAAACAATAGGTTGTTGTTTTAAACTGACATTAATCTATATTATGATCCTAGTTTTGACACTGCACAATGATATTTTGTGAAACATACCGAAGAGCAAGAATATGAAATTTCTGAAGTACTTTTATTTTTGAGGCACTTGTAAAATAATATTTTAAAAATCATTTATTTATTTTGTATCCCAACTGCACTTTCCCCTCCCTTCTCTTCTCCCAGTCCTTCCTCCTCCCTTTCCCCTCCCTTGAATCCACTCCTATCCACTCCTCTCATGAATATCAACCAGCCCTGGCATGTCAAGTTGCAGTAAGTAAGGTACATCTTTTCCTATTGAGGTGATGCAACCCAGTAGGAAGAAAGAGTCTCAAAGGCAGGTAACAGAGTCAGAGACAGCCCCTGCTCCTGCTGTTAAGACTCCACAAGACCTACCCACACAACTGTAATTATGTGCAGAGGGCCTAGGTCAGCCCCATGCAGGGGCAGGCTCTCTTGCTGATAGTTCAGTCTCTGTGAGCCCCTATGGAACCTTGTTAGTTGACTCTGTGGGCATAAATAATCAGTTTTTAGGAGGGGAATAATAATCGCATATCACTCAGTACCACAGTGATGCGGATAAGGATGATGGACAGAACCTTTTTCTCTCTCAGCGCAGTGCGAATCCCTCCAGCATCATCTCTCTCTCTACTTTATGGCTGGGAAGCATGAAGGCAGAAATCTTGTCTTTTCTGAGGTTTGTGGTTAGTGCTATGCCTGAGACCCAGTGAAGACTCAATGAGAATTCATGGCAGATGCATAAAGGAATAACAAAAGTGGAAAGAGGCTAACTTCTTTCTACAAATCGAGAAATGTGATGCACTTAACATCTGTTCCCTACAACAGCGCCATGGCAAGCCCGCTGTGTTCAGTGGCCCTTTCTGGCTTTCAGGGAACTTTTGTCTTGTTCAGCTCATTGGGTTTTTCATCTGTTGTTATATTTAGATAGGCAATCAACTGCTTTAAAAAAAAAACAACTATCTCCAGTCAGAATTCATTCCATAAAGAAAATGTATTATATATGCTAACTGGAGTTTTATTAAATCTCAAGAAGGAAAAAAAAATGTCATTTGCAGGAAAGTGGATAGACTTGTAGACCATTCCTAATGGCAAAATAATGTAAACTCAGACTGGAGACTATTGCATGCTTCCTCTTATATATATATAAATCAGATTATAAATGTATACACATATGTATATACTTTATAAGATTATTTTATACAAAAATATATTTTATGGCATAGAAAATATATTTCTACATAAAATCATGTCACATAGGTACTGTTTTGGAAGATGAATATTTTGGAAGATAAGGGAATTTAGCAGGAAGAAAAATGGAAGATGGTAATGGGAAGAGAATATGGTTAAATGGAAAAATGGTTAAAGTATATGATAGACTTGAACAAAAATGTCATGAAGCTAATTACTTTGAACAATGAATATACTCTCATAAAAACACTGTAAAAGGGGATTGTCCTATAACATTTTGGCCTTTGATACCATTTGGAGTTCACTTCTATAGCTGAGTACTCTGTGGTATTTGAGGAAGGGTTCAAAGGTAAAGAGAACAGAAATGGCACTCGCTTCGGCAGCACATACACTAAAATTGGAACTAAAATTGGAAGATTAGCAGGTCTCCCACGCAAGGATGACGTGCAAATCCATGAAGCGTCCCATAATTTTAAGGAAATCGTGGAACTAGAAAATTCATCCTGAGTGAGGTAACCCAGAACCACAAAGACATGCATGGTATATACTCACTTATAAGTGAATATTAGCTATTTAATATAGGATAAACACACAACAAAATCTACAGATCTAAAGAAGCTAAACGATAAGGAGGACCCTAAGGAGGAAACTTAATTCTCATTCAGGACAGCAAACAGGGTAGACCTTGGAAGTGGTGGAAGAGAGGGGTCAGGACAGGCGCCTACCACAGATGTCCTCTGAAAGGCTCCACCTAACAGGAGATGGAAGCAGATTCTGAGACTCACAGTCAAACTTTGGACAAAGCACAGGGAGTCTTTTGGAAGAACTGTGTGTGTGTGGGGGGAAAATGGGGAGGCAGGGAATAAAAGGACTCAAAAGGGGCAGGAGCTCCACAAGGAGAGCAACAAAGCCAAAAATTCTGGCCTCAGGGGGCCCTGCAGAGACTAATACAGCAATCAAGGACCATGTATGTAGAAGACCTAGACTCCCTGCTCAGATGTAGCCCATAAGCAACTCAGTCTCCATGTGTGTTCCCAAGTAAGGAGAGCCCGGGTTGCCTGTGACATGAACTTGGTTGCCTGCTCTTTGATCACTTACCCCTGGCAGTGTGACCTTCCAGGTCACAGAGAAAGAGGATCCAGAGGATCCAGGCAATCCTGATGAGACTTGATAAGCTAGAGGCAGATGGCAGAGGAGGTGAACTCCCCCTTTCAGTGGACTAGGGGAATTGAATAGGGCAGGAAGAGGAAGGGAGGGTAGGACTGGAGGAGATGAGGTAGGGGGCTATAATCGGAATATAAAATGAATAAATTGTGAAAAAAATTAAAAAGAGAGCAGAAATGTTCATTATTTATTCAAATATACATCACTAATACAACAGCAATGGATGGCCCTCAGGAACAAGAGTAAGACAAACAGGAAAAGGAAGTAGAGAAAGAAAAGTTTCGGAAGGAAGCAGAAAGATGAAAAACTCTGCTTACTCAGCCATATTTTTGAAAATTGTGTATTGTTTACTAAAAGTCAATTAAATTTGACTTTAAAGCTCTGCAGTAGGGCACTGAAGAGCTGGCTCGGCAGTTAAGAGTTCTTGCTATTCATGCAGAGGACCTAGGTTCATTTCCTGCCACGCTCCTGAAGCAGCTCACAGCTCTCTGTAACTCCGGTTTCAGGAGCTCTGACTCCTCTGACGACTGGCTTCCATAGTTACCTGCGTGCACGTGGTACACATACAGAGAAGCTGGTACACACACACACACACACACACACACACACACACACACACACACACACACATGCACACACTTAATTATTAAACCAATAAAACAAAACAACACTTCAGTGGAGTTTGGGTTTGGATTCCAGGGGCCCCACAATCTGTTCACTTCCAAGGCTAATCCTCAGCACACAGGATAGACTTGGAGAACTCCTCCTCCTTTGGATGAAATTCCATTTCACTTCAATGACTTCATCTCATGTGATGAAAAACGATGGTGTTTTAAACAGAACCCACAGGTCTATTTTGACCAAACCTGAACTGCATAAACTTACAGAGAGGCGCTTTTGCTGTGCATATTCAGTAGGGATGGCTTGCTCTAAGATCATGTTGTGCTGAAGAAAAGTGATTTAATGTTCTGTGGAAAGGCTTCTAGATTGAAAATAATCACCCTTTTTTATGATGAATGAATTAGTAGCATCTAAATAATTTCATAAAGCTGAAGTAGCTCCCCTTTACAGAATATGAAATGCCTACTTTTTCTCTTCTACTCACATTTATGGTCTCAGTTCATCATGCATTCTTATTTATAATACCTATTTGCTGAAATTATTCTTGACTTTTTTTCAGTTGATAAACACTGTCAAGGTAATTGTTAAGTGTATATTTCTCTACTCAGCCAACTTGCTTTATTATCAAATCTCACTCTAAAAACGAATTGTATGTAAAGCCAACGGGTCGCACATTTGAGAATTTTAATTACTTCTCTATGATCACTTTATATTCTGTACGTAGCATTCAGGTAACACAGCCTCTACAATGATAAGCAGTTTAATTAGAGAGCCAAGATAAGGAAAATGCCTTTTACGTTACCAAATTTGCTCATGCCAGTCTCATGATGACTTGGGCTTTGCATTTTCATGCAGAATTTTAAATGTGGAATGTTAACGTTAGGTGAGCCTTCCCTCCTGATGGTCCTGCAAATGCTTCGTTACCACGCCATTTGGCTTCCTCCCTTTGCACATGTAAACACCGTGGTTGTAATTAGATTGCAAACTGAAACCTGCCTTTAATCTTTGTGCCAGTCCAAACACGCGCATGATTCCTCACACTCCTAACTTGGCACTGGAATCACAACAAATAGACACAAATGTAAACCCCCGTGCTGCCAATAGCATGCCTGCCCTTTCCACAAACTGTCTCAGAGGATAGCCATTGATTTCCTCGTTATTATGAACATGAAATTATTGAATGACAGATGATAGAGTGTTAGGTCCTACAAGTATTTTCCCAAATGGGTTATCTAGCCAGAGTTGCCATGGAAACGATGCTGTTTGACAGACCTGCCCACAAAGAACTCTTTGCTCAGAATTCAGCATCAAATAGCTCCCAGCTTACTGCAGGCTCGTGTTAAAACAGAGAACACGGAAGGTTTCTTATTAAGAAAAGAAGGGCTTTCTTGTAGATGAGTCTGCCCTGTCACAGGATGTACTAAAGTCACATTGAGATATTTCAGCCTGGCACCCTCCTGCCACACACACACTCACACACACACGTGAATGAGGACTTCACTAAGGGCTGGACTTTGGGCTATTAATAAAGACAGTGTTAATTCTTAGAAGATAAATTAGTGGATCTGAGAGGGCAGAGTCCACTGGGAATATAAGTTCTGCATCACAACACACATCTCATTAGGAGGAAAGAGGCCCCAAGCCCAGCGTTTTCCGGTCGACACAGTACTTAACACTGTGAAGAAGGCTTCGGAACTGAATTTTCCTCTTTCTTCCTTTTGTTGACAAATGCACGTGTGAAATAAGATAACATTTTCAAATTAGAATAACACTTCTCAACAAAACACTCTTAGTGTTGACGTCTTCTAATTCCCATGTCTCTTCTTACGTGTTGGGTTCACACTCAACATAGTGAAACTGAGATCATACTCTGGAATGGTGCTTCATGTCACTCTGGCCAATTAAGGGTATCACACCAGCATGATTAAGGCGGAAGGAGCCACCTGCTGCCCACAATAGGTTTTGATATTTTCCTTCTCCCTCAGTCCTCTCTCCTACCCCATCCAACTTTATGATTCTACTTCTTCATTTGCTATCTGCTAAATACAGACATGAAGTTATACCTCATACCACAATGTGCCACTTAGTGATAACCATGCAGACAATAAGATTGTGACTCTACAAATTAAGATAGCTTGATGTTACAAGATAAAAGAACCACCTAGGACCTCTTGTGGAAGGAGATCCGTCATCAGGTCGGTGCCTTTGCTAGTTTCACTGTCTTCTATTTTGACACAAAAATTCCGTCACTGAGCTATTCTTTGCTCTTAAGAATTCTAAAAGTTAGACTGTCATAACATCCTCTACTTTTTATGTAATTTGTGTGTTCGTGTAGATGGTCACATGTGTGTGCCTCTGTGTATGCAAGTTTGTTTGGGGTGTGTGTGTGTGTGTGTGTGTGTGTGTATGTGTATGTGTGTGCATGTGCGTGTGGAGCTGAGAAGGTGATACTGAGTGTCTCCTCATCTATTCTTCAGCTTGTTTTTTGAGGTAAGGTCTCTCACTGAACTGCAGCTTGTCTGTTTGCTGTTCATCAATCTCCAGGGATCTCTCGCCCTCTCTATCCAGACCTCCACATATAGACAGTCAGCAGTGAACTGGGCACTTCCATTCGGGGCGTCAAGAAAGATAGAACACTGGTTCCCAACCTGTGGTCTGTTACCCCTTTACGATCGCATATCAGATATCTCCTTTATCAATATTTATGTTATAATTCCCGAACAGTAGCAAAATCACAGTTACGAAGTAGCAATGAAAATGGTTTTATGGTTGGGGTCACCACAACATGAGGGACTGTATTAAAGGGTTGCAGCATTAGGAAGGTTGAGAACCCCTGATCAAACATCTTCTCAGCGTATTAAGCTCAGCGTATTCAGTGTTTTACATTATTACTCTCTCAAGCAGGGACCAGTTTCTGTATTAAACGGCATGTCATTCACCCAGCTACTCATGTGAGCATTGCCATCATCTCTCACACACCACTTTGCCTCATTAATTACGTTACTCAACCCCCAAGTCCTATTAATTCCGCCTAACATTGCCAAATTTCTCAATTTCTACTTCTACTGCCTCACTACAAGGCCACAATTATCTTTCTTAAATAATAGCAAGGAGACAGCCTACTTCTATTCAATCTCAGCATCTTATCCAGAATCCATAACTCAACTAAATTAATGTTTACTGGACATAAATCTGGTCAGATTGCCTGTCGGAGGCACTGCTTTCAATGCCTCTCCAATGCCTTCAAGATATAATAGTCACATGGCATTTTGGCTGTTTACTATCTACCTTTATCTCTGTCTTTCTTGTCTTGTTCACTTCAAGTGTATCCCTCTAAACTCTAACTATCTGGTCTTACTTTTTTTTTATATTTCTTATTAGTACATGAACTTTTTTATTTCTAGATCTTTTCATACGCCATTGTTGTTGTGGCACAGAACATTTTAAATTAGAAATATTAAGTCCCCACATACCGCCATGCTGTGTACCTCTTTGTCCTCTCAGCTTTCGGGTGATGTTCTTTCTCCTAAGAAGCATGACACTGTAAATCAAGACACTGAACAATGTCTTAAAGTGTAACTTCTTGGCATTTGATTTGGGAAGGCTGGATCTTGAGGATATGATAGATTATAAATGGAATAAAGCGTCAGACAGTAGACAATGGATTTTGAGAGAATTAATTCAAAAAG